CCCAACATCAGCCATAGCAACATTTCTCTAGATATGTCTCCTGAGGCAAGGGAGACAAAAGCAAACATAAACTATTGGGGCCACATCAGAATAAAAAGCTTCTGTACAGCAAAGGAAACAATCAACAAAACTAAAAGACAACCTACTGAATGAGAGAAAATATTTGCAAATGGCATATCTGATAAAAGATTAGTATTTAAAATATATAAAGAACTTATACAACTCAACACCACAAACACAAATAATCCAATTAAAAAACGGGCAGAAGACAGGAACAGACATTTTTACAAAAAAGATATACAGATGGCCAACGGACATGAAAAGATGCTCAATATCACTCATCATCAGGGAAATGCAAATTGAAACCACAATGAAATATCACCTCATACTTGTCAGAATGGCTAAAATAAAAAACACAAGAAACAAGTGTTGGCCAGGATGAGGAGAGAAAGGAACCCTTGTACACTACTGACAGGAATACAAATTGGTGCAGCCATTGTGGAAAACGGAATGGGTAGTCTTCAAAAAATTAAAATAGAATTACCCTACAATCCAGTAATCCTACTACTGGGTAAATACCAATAGTATTTACCAAAAGAATATGAAAACACTAATTCAAAGGGATATATGCACCCCTATGTTTATTGCAGAATTATTTACAATAGCCAAATTATGAAAGCAGCCAAAGTATCCACTGACTGATGAATGGATAAAGAAGACGTACACACAGACACACACACACACACACACTGGAATATTATTCAGCCATAAAAAGAATGAAATCTTGCCATGTGCAACAACATAGATGAATCTAGAGAGTATAATGCAGAGCAAAATGTCAGAGAAAGACAAATATCATATATTTCACACACATGTGGAATTTAATAAAACAAATAAAGTAAAAAAAAAAAGAGACAAACTAAAAAACAGACTCTTTTTTTTTTTTTAAGATTTTATTTATTTATTTGAGAGAGAGAGACAGTGAGAGAGAGCATGAGTGAGGAGAAGGTCAGAGAGAGAAGCAGACTCCCCGTGGAGCTGGAAGCCCAATGCAGGACTCTATCCCGGGACTCCAGGATCATGACCTGAGCCGAAGGCAGTCGTCCAACCAACTGAGCCACCCAGGCGTCCCTAAAAAACAGACTCTTAACTATAAAGAACCAAAGGGGGATGGGTACAATAGGTGAAGGGGATTAGGAATACACTTATCTCAATGAGCACTGAATAACATATAGAATTATTGAATCACTATATTGTACACCTAAAACTAATATAACACTCTATGTTAACTATACTGGAATTAAAATTTAAAAAGTAAACTACTCTGCCTTGCTCCTGTTAATCTTGTTATATTCACAAGGGCAAGTATCTTACTGTGTCATCAACTAAATTGTGAGCAGCTTGAGGGAGTCGGGGTTTTTTCATTGTTGCAGGGCTTTTTTTTTTTTTTTAAGATTTTATTTATTTATTTGACAGAGAGAGAGAGAGATCACAAGTAGGCAGAGAGGCAGGTGTCGGCGGGGAGGGAAGCAGGCTCCCTTCTGAGCAGAGAGCTGGACATGGGGCTCAATCCCAGGACCCTGAGATCATGACCTGAGCCAAAGGCAGAGGCTCAACCCACTGAGCCACCAGGCGCCCCCGTTGCAGGGCTTTTCAAAGGAGTTGTTTCCCAGTTGGCATTCAATTAAATATTTATAGAATGAACAAATGAAATTATGCACAAGTAACTTAAGAATTCATTCACAGAACTCATTAGGGATTTGTGGAGGGACCTGTGTTACTTTATTCCACATAAGCCTAAAAGTAAATGAAAACTTTTCATCTTCTTACATTAAAACTTTTCAACATATCATTTTTTTTTTTTTTTTTCAGGAATAAAGTATCTGGAACACAGTAGTAGTTAAATACATATTTGCTGAGTTAGTGAAGAGTCCTACAAAAATACACAAATATACAAGGTCTTTATAATCTAACGCATATTCTTCCGTCCACACTCACTCTGTGCCAGTTCTACTTTATCCTGTAATAATGAGTAACAGTATGTAATTTTCATTCATGCATCAAATATTTATTGTCACTATTATGTGCCAGGCACATTGGTCCACTGTTTGAAATAGTTTTGTTCCTTTTTTGCTATTCTTTCTTCCTGGAAATTTAAGAAGCCATTCAGCAAATACCTCATTTGTTGTGGTTTTCCTACTTTCGTTCCTTCAGTTCGGTTAGTTACCTCCTGCAGAAGGCCGTCCCTGTCATCTTCAGTACTCAGTGCTTGCTTCCATCTTAGCCCTGTGTCTATGTTTGTTACCACATCCCACAATATCGAGGTATTGCTTTCAGAGGGCAGGGATGGAGGATTTTTTCGGTTTGTTTTTGTTTAACTATTGAATTGCCTTTATTTTTTTCAAAGATTATTTATTTATTTATTTGACAGAGAGATCGCAAGTAGGCAGAGAGGTGGGGGCGGGGGGGTGGAAGCAGGCTCCCTGCTGAGCAGAGAGCCTGATGTGGGGCTGGATCCCAAGACCCTGAGACCATGACCTGAGCCCAAGGCAGAGGCTTAACCCACTGAGCCACCCAGGTACCCAGGGATGGAGGTTTTGTTCACGTATGTGTCCCCAGGGCCCAGCATAGAATTTAGGACAGGTAGGACAGGGTGAAAACCCTATATGTAAGTATTGAAATGAATTCCTACAATAAAAGTGAGTTATGTATTATCTCCAGGTTATAGATGAGAAAAGGAGACTTGAAAGGGTTTAGAAAATTAGAAAAACCCAAGGTCACACAGTGGTAGAGCCTGTTCTGAAAGGAATTTGAAGAATGAAACCATCATTGGTTCTAAATGAATAAAACTCCTTCCCACTATGTTTCTTGAAAATTTCGTTTAGATTTTATATTCTTTCCTTCTATAGACCAATGACTCCTCGTCTACCATAATATTATGAGCGGGGACAATACGCCCATTTTTTTCATACTGAAAACTGTTTGACCTCTCTCTGGAAGCAACTTGATTTTAAACTTTTTGAACTCACATTCTTTCCGGGGTAGAATCTGCACTGGAGTCCTAGGGAGGACGTGATAGGTCCCATGGGAAGGGTCATTCGAAATGGAATGCAGGGACTGAGGGTTTTACCCTGGGCAGGATTCACGAAGACTTTTGCAGGGGGAGAATAGGTCTCAATTTTGATTGCACAAATCCCAAGACTTGTGGGAATTTGGTTGGTCACACCTAAGGCGGCAGTAGGGGGACTGTGCTGCCCACAGCTAAGATGACTGCAAATGAACATCTCCTTCGGATGGGTCTGTTCTCTTCGTTCATTGGTATTTTCAGTGAGAAGTATAGTAAATAAAATTTAGTAAAAGTTGGTGTCTTCTTACCAAGATGGTAACGTAGGAAGTTGGCACGTTTTGTTTGGAAAACCTTCAACAGGTCAAATTTTCTCTTGCCCTTAACCAAAATGGTCGTAAAGGTTGTCCCACGGTTTGAAGCTTCCAGCCCTTAACTAACATGGCGTCTGGAGCGCGTTAAAAATTAGCTTGCCCTCTTTTTTGCCCTTGACCATCATGGCCTCCACGGCGTCGAACACGTGACGACCCCGGACTACGGCGCGGGAGAGGGGGTAGGAGGGCCCTTGAAGGGTGCGCGTTCCCGTGGCGGTGCACCGGGTAGGTTTCAGTCAGAGTCACTATGGCGGCCGGCGCTGGCAAGGTAAGCTGAGGCGGCGGCAGCAACGAGGGAGGCTGGACCCGTTGTGGCGTCCGGGTTCTAAATCCCCGCAGCTCGTCCGCGGAGAGGTTGGCCGAGATCGTGGCCAGTCTCGGGGACTGGTGGGGGGCGGGTTGAAGGGGGTGCGGGCTGAGGCGGGCGGGCACCGGCGCCTGACGGCCGTTTGTTTTGATGTTTTCCCCACCAGGTCGGAAAGTTTCCTGCCTTGTCGGGCACAGCCTGAGCGTGTCCCACCAGCCGCGAGTGGTGGAGGGTGCGGCGGACCCAGCCCGGGGCCTCCAGGCCTCTCCCCTAATCTCCGGGCCAGCCTCCCTCCCCCACCTCCTCGTCCGCTGGGAGCTGTGGCTGTCGTCCCTGAGATGCGACCCTCGCGGGGGCGACCCTGAAAGAAGGCGGCCGGTGTGCTGAGCAGCAGCTAGGAGCTCAGGCGTTCAGGGACCAACTTCCTGCGGGCCGAGACCCCTGAGCCTCCGCGGGGTTGCGCCTCGCTCTGTCCGCACCGGCCTGCCGAGCCGGATCTCCGCCCTGGGCGCGGGGACGCCCGCCAGGTGCCCGGGAGTCCCGCCTCGGCCGCTGCCCGCGCCTCTGCCTGTCCGCCTACTCCTCGCGCCAAGGACCCCAGCCACCGCCGTCTCGGCTCGTGCCAGGGACCCCGTGCCACCTCCCGGGCGGCCTCCGCGCAGCAAGAGCAATGCAGACTGTCCCGCTGGCGGTCTAGACCCCCACGACTCTGCCCTTCCACTCCCGAGGCCCTCAGAGACGGGCGGTGGGTGCCCAGAGGTGCTCGGCGACACCTTCCTTCGGCCCGAAAGGACCTTCCTGGCCGCACCGAACCGACCCTTCCTTCATGCTGCAGTGCTGCAACATTTCCGCCACCGAGGGGGGAAAGCGGCCGCGATCCCAAACAAAACACAAGAATTGGTGTGTGACTCATCTGCTTGGATACCTCCAGCCCCCAAACTGTCTTCCAGGAGTTTTCTTAGCCGAAGCTGTCCGATGTTTGAGGCTTTTCTTCCCAGGGAAGAAGATGGACTGAAAGCTGCCAGTTGGGGACTTTTTGCGATCAGGGCGCTGCTGGGTTTTAAAGGAGGTGATGGGGATTGCGCTGGCTTGTCTTCCCACTCAAGTGAAGAGTTGTTGATGTTCACTGGTTATGCTTGGACAATGCGCAGTTTGTTTTAATTTAAAATTTTGGGGGGGATAGGGGTATAGGCTTGTGAAGGGCAGTCCGGATCCGGTGGAACTCCTCTTTGTCCCTTGGTAGGAGAGACACCCCCAGTCTGTCCTCGATGCCGTCAGCCTTGGCCATCTTCACTTGCCGCCCGAACTCGCACCCGTTTCAGGAGCGCCATGTCTACCTGGACGAACCCATTAAAATCGGCCGCTCAGTGGCCCGCTGTCGACCAGCGCAGAATAATGCTACCTTTGATTGCAAAGTGCTGTCAAGGAATCATGCTCTCGTCTGGTTTGATCACAAGACGGGCAAGGTAATGTCACCACGTTATCTAACAATCTTTACTTCTCATTTCCCTTTGCCCTTTTTGCATAATGTATGCAGGATCCCAGCGTTTGCACCCAGAGGAGGCTTTGAGCAAGGCCATGGAACCAACTTTTTGGGTATTTGGTTCTACTGGAAGTTTAGTTGAGGTGGTTGAATGGAAAACAGAGACGGTATTGTAATTAAATGCCTCGGGAGGGCGATGGCATCTTGATAATGTGGTCATTCCCAGTGAAATCCCAAACTCTCATTCATTTCAGAAAACTAGATAGTGAAACTTGGCTTTTTGCTTCTAATCTTTTTAGAAAGGTGAATTTGCCTTTCAGTGTTTGAATAAGCAAGCGGCAGTTCCCAAAGCAATTCAGGGAATCTGTGGCCAGTATTACACTGGGGCTCAGGTGTCTCAGGGGTGAAAAGGAGTTAACACAGCTTTTAGCTGAGTTCAGATCATGGTCTTTCTAGTAAGGACAGTTGTTTGTGTAAATTTACGTTTTTGAAATATTTGATAAGGAGTAATTTGCAATTTTCAAAGCCAGTTTCATTAATCATGAACAACTGTAGCTTTACATTTTTAGAGTTTTGTTTGCAAGTTGGGTGAACATATATGTATTGCTTTTGAAAATCGTTTTTGGTGTTCCTTGCAAGAACTTACTAAAAATACTTAATGCATACTTGTAAAGGTGATATTTAAAAATCATTGTTATGAAATTAATGTACTTTCTGAAATTATATCCAGTTCTATCAAATATTGCATTACCTAGATGTGATAGGATGAATTTAATGCTCTCTAAGTGTGATCCTTTTTGCATTTTTATGTTGGCACCCTAATTTACTATACTTGTGGGTGCTTATATTTTAAGAATACAAGAAAAAGTCAAATAAGACCCTTTCAATTTTTAATACTTAATGTGTGTGAAGAATATACTGAAGAATTCATTTTTGTGCTTTTGAGATACTGAATCAGTTCTGACTTAGATTAAGTTATGTAAGACTAATAGAATACCTTGGGCTTCACCTCCTGACTTTTTGCTTCCTCTTCCCGGGTTAAATGATGAAGTCTTTTTTAAAAGAAGAATTTAAGTTTCCAATGGTAGTATTTTGAAATGAAAGAAACTTGAGCTTCAAAAAAAAGAAGGCAATACTCTGTTGCTACAGAATTAAGGAATTATTATATAAATCATTTTTCAAAGAAAGGAGGAAAAGATTGTGCTTGCATAATACCTATGCCCTACTCTGTGTGTAGGATGTGAACTGAAAAAGATGTTAATTTTTCTGTATAACACCAGATGTTCATTTACCTATGGAACAGAACCTTTTTCTTTCTCTGTAGAAACTAAAGTTTGGGTGTCTGAAAGACTTCATAGATTACCCATAATCATTTAAAGTGAATATTCATGGAGCTCATCTTTCCAGCTATCAAATTCAAACATCAGTTAACTGCCAGTGCCTTAATTCAACCAGCTTTGACCTTTTTGTCTAAGCTAAGGTCCAGCTTAATCAAATAACAGGTTTGCTTAAAGTACATAATCTGCAAAGGCACCTGCTTTACTTTGGTACGCTACTCAAAGGAGACTCAGATTTTTTTTCTTTTACTTATTTAAAAAATAGTGATTACATGAGCAGTGCTTTTCATGGCTATGCTAAAACCCCCACAGTAGATTATTTTGAGATGGCTAAGACTAGATCCATAGTGAGTATTGTGTAAATTGAGCAGACATGTTAAAATTGAGTGGAATTTGTAATTAGAAAAACTTATCTTTAAAAGATACACAGCTTATTTTCACCATTTTCACTTTTTTCCTGCTTTAGCTAAAAACAGGATATGAGGCCATTACTTTAGGTATAGATATAATTATTGATTACTGCACAGCCTAATCTAGTTAAAACAAATAACCTGTCAGATTTTGCCATGTGATCAAATTATTTTAGGAATAAAATTGTTTAACATTTAGGTTTGAACAGACAGGGTTTTATTGAGCACCTATTATGTGCCAGATATCCTGAGGTACACAATTTCAAAGAAAACCCACAGTTTGACCAAATATCACTTACTGTTTTCTATGTGTGAAATTTCCAGTTTGAGAATTTTTTTTTTAAGATTTTTATTTATTTATTCAACAGACAGAGATCACAAGTAGGCAGAGAGGCAGGCAGAGAGAGAGGGAGAAGCAGGCTCCCTGCTGAGCAGAGAGCCCGATGCGGGGGGCTTGATCCCAGGACGCTGGGATCACGACCTGAGCCCAGGCAGAGGCTTAACCCACTGAGCCACCCAGGCGCCCCCAGTTTGAGGATTTCTGCTATAATTGTCTCATAACAAATAAGTCACTGAGCCTAATATATTTCCCAGCAAATTCCTTTGTACAATACCATAATCCCCTCCTTCTATAAGCATCACCTCAGGCAGGTTTTTATTTTTCAAACATCTCATCTCTAAGCCTTAGTTTTCTCTTCTGGGGATAATAGTGGTACCTACTATTGTTTTGAGATTGATATAATCATGTAAATTACTTAGCACCCTGTTTGTGGCCCTTATTAAGGACCTAGTTCTTAGTGAGGAGGGTGTTTGAGGTCGGGGGAAAAGCAAACCATCTAGGCAGCTCTTTGCAATTTCTGTATGCTGTGGAGTCCTAGGAAGGTAATGAGAATTGTTTTTTCTTTCATGTGATGGCATATGTAGAAGTAATCTTTTAAATTGAACATACAAAGTTGAGAACTTTGTTCAAATTTGCACTTTCCCTGGGAGGTGGAGAATTGGAGTGATATATACCCTTTGGTTGACTTTTACCTTGTGATTTTTTCATTCTGCACTAGCCATTATAGGTGACCCATTAAAAGCTGGAAGAGGTAATAAACACTTGAAACTTCCTTATTATCCAAGTAATACATATTCATTGTAGAAAATCTGCAAAACATAGGCACATGGAGTCTAGGTGACACTTTTTAATGCTAAGTTTGTGGAATGCCTTATGGGTACTGAAAACCTGCAGGTTGGAGGGTGACAGGTTTGCCATAAAGTGGAATTTAATAAACTTTCCCAAATCATCTACTCAGGAGTGTAGCAGTCTGTTATTGCCCTGCTTGGGTGCTGACCCTGTGTATCATCCTTCACTTCTCTTGGAAGTCAAGCTCTTCAAATGAGATGACATATAATAGAATGGTTATTAATCCTTCTTTTGACCAAGTTACCACTGAACAAGCAAATCTACCCATATGGTGGTTACATAGAAGGGGTAGTGAGTGGACTGCCTCCTTCTGATTTGGATGGTCCCTCTTGATTTGAGTCTCTGTGGACAGGTGATAGATAGTCTAATGGTTGATACAGTAGTCTATTTGCACTCTTACTGTAGTTTACTTAGTAATAAGTGATAGTAGTATTCTACTTCCAATTTCACTTTTTCTTACTTAAATTCAATGCATATTTTTGAGCACCTGTGCTATCATGATCTGTTTTAGTGGAGGGCACAGTGGTGAGAGGGAAGAAAACAAGAACTGGTTAGAAATTGTTATTCTTTCTAGAAGCTTATATTTTGGATACAGAGGGTGACTATACACCTTAGTAACAGTATTGAGAAGGGTGCCTGGGTGGCTCAGTCTGTTAAGTGTCTGCCTTCTGTGATCCCAGGGTCCTGAGGTTAGAGCCCTGTTGCGGGGCTCCCTGCTCAGTGGGGAGTCTGCTTCTCTCTCTCCACCTGCCTCTCCCCCAGCTCATGCTCTCTCTCACTCTCTAAATAAAATATAAAAAAACAAACAAACAAAAAAAACCCAAAATACACAAGTGATTGAGATAAGATAGTATTAAGTAAGTTTAAACGGCAAGGGTGATGGTGTTTGAATTAGACTTTACAATAGGGGTGGATAGGTACATCTTAAGAAAAGCTGTCTTTTTTGCATGGTTTTTGTGTGTTTTGGGTGGACGAAAGTAAAATAAAACAGACAAAAGCAGGTAATTTTGAATGAGTTTGACATCTTCCAGTCATTGATGAAATTGATTTTGTTGGATTGGAGAAGTTTTTTGGAGAGTAGCTATGTGTGAACATCCATTCTGTGTGACATTTTTATGTTTGTTTCTCTTTTATAAGTAGTTGTCAGACCATGGAAGAGAGGGTGTCTGCCTTATTTGTCTGTTTCTGAGTAGCTAAAGCTGAGGAGATAGTTGTGGAGTGCCTTGATTAACAAACTAAGGGCATTGACCCATGTACTGTGGAAGGCCAGGGAAAGTTCTCTGCAGGGCACTGACATAACAGAACCACCAATTAAAAGTGATATGACAACAATATGTAAGGAGGCCTGGAGCAAGGACAAATGGGAACAGCTTAATTAATACTTGTGCGCTAACTATGTACCATACCCAGTTCTAAATGCTTTACATGTTAATTAATCCTTAAATAACTATTTAAGATAACTGCTTATTTTTCCCACATTAACCCATAAGGAAATTAAGGCACAGAGAGATTAGATTAACTTGCCCAAGTTCACATAGCTAATAAATGGTAGAGTTGGGATTTGAATGTTGGTATTCTGACTTTTGACTCTAGAGTCTAGAACCGAAGCTCTTAACTACTCTGCTACTGCAAGGCTTTGTAACAGTTTAGATCTGATATCGTTTTGTCAGGGCATTGACCATATTCACAGTAGAAATAAAAATGATTAAATGCTAGAAGGTGAAAATTACAAGTATATTAACTTGCTAATTAGGACTTCAGCAAAAAAAGAGGTTCTGTAAGTACTGGAGATTTTAGGGATGATTCTTGGATAGGATACAATTTAAGCTAGACCTTAGGACTTTTTTTTTTTTTTTTTTTTTAATTATTTGTCAGAGAGAGAGAGGGAGAGAGAGCAAGCACAGGCAGACAGAATGGCAGGCAGAGGCAGAGGGAGAAGCAGGCTCCCTGATGAGCAAGGAGCCCGATGTGGGACTCGATCCCAGGACGCTGGGATCATGACCTGAGCCGAAGGCAGCTGCCCAACCAACTGAGCCACCCAGGCGTC